TGATTGATGCTTTCTGGGATAGACTCGCGTGCGAGAGGCACCGGTATCTGGTAACTTGGATGCGCCTGAAGGTGGTCTCGATGCAATGATGCAAGCGATGGTTTGTACCAAGGAAATTGGTTGGCGACAGGATGCCCGACATCTTATCGTTTTCTCGACAGACGCCAGTTTTCATGTCGCTGGAGATGGCAGAGTGCGTAAGGACAGAGATCTCTTTTTTTTTTTTTTTTGGTTCGTTTAAGGATTAAACATAATCTAATTTCAGTTGGCAGGAATTATCGAACCTAACGACTGTCTTTGTCATTTAGACGAGAAAGGTTTTTACACGCACTCGCTTCTCCAAGATTATCCATCCGTATCTCAGGTATGCAATTTTCTATTCAATCGGTTAGTCGTAGGTAAGTAAAAACTTCATTCATAGTTTTGTTCTACGGTCGAATGTAGATTAACAAAGTAGCTCGCGAGCACAACATGAACATCATATTTGCGGTAAAAAGCGAGAAGAAAACGACGTACGAATTATTGAGTGGAAGTATCAGCGGCTCTTCTGTCGAAACGTTACAGAATAACTCTAAAGGCATAGTTAGTCTCATCAGAGGAGAATACGAGGTATGAGTTTACGAATCAACATAACTCGGTTGTATGTTTCATGGACAAATCGACTTGTTTAGAAACTGGTTAATTCCATAACGATGACAGACGATGCACCGAAAATGATCGATGTAAAGTACTACTCCCGATGTTTGGAGAAGAACGGTGAATTGAAAGAACGACAAAAATGTGGAGGACTACGAGTGGGGAACGTCGTCGAATTTGAAGTAACGTTACAGGTATAATATGCGTAAAACGGGCAATTCTATAGAAAGAAATACGCTGCATTATTTCGCGTAATTTTGTCTTGCTTGAGATATGAAATGCTCTTGCTGGTCGTAGGCGTCCGAATGTCCAACAAATCCCAATGAATGGCAGACAACTATGCAGATAAAACCGAGGGGTATAAACGAGAGCTTGACGATCGAGCTGAGCATTATCTGTGATTGTCCCTGCGAACGCCCAGGACATCGGGTAAGAACGACGATTGATTTTTCTCATTTCAATCTTTTCTCACGCGTTTCTGATGAAAATGTAGGGATACGTAGCAGCTTCGGACAATTGCAGAGGAAACGGTACTCTGGTTTGCGGTGTATGTTCCTGCAACGAAGGCTTTTACGGGAAGCAGTGTGAGTGCGAAGGAAACGAAGCCGGTGCCGAGAACGCGGCTGCTATGGCTGACTGTAAGCCTAACAACGAGACCAGTGAAATTTGTAGCGGCCACGGAGACTGCAAGTGCGGTGTATGTGATTGCGCGAAGCGTCCTAATCCGCAAGAAGTTTTCTATGGGAAATATTGCGAGTGTGATAACTTTTCTTGCAAACGTAGCGAAGGATTGGTAAGTAAACCTAATCTAAACCTAAATAATCAACTACATGCATATAGGATGCATATAGGATGACAGAAAACGAAAGTGGTTTTCAATAGGGAGATGCGTTTAATCGCCAGCGGTTATCGAGAAATATTTCAGCTTATAAGATGAATGACAGTTAAACGAAATTCATACAGTATAAGAATTGCACGTATCTAACTCTTGTCATCGGTTACAGATGGAATGATTATATTCGCGTATCATAAACTTGCTTCGCAATCGTTTATTCGTATAGCTGCCCAAGTAATTTCCATTTTAAAGAAACCTGTAAAGTGTCTTTCAGATACACGGCAGATAAATTATATGCATTTGTGTGTATTCTATTATTCCTTTCTGACGATGTTGTTGCGTTTAAGGTTTGTGGCGGCCGAGGCAAGTGTGAATGCGGTACTTGCAATTGCTTGCCAGGATGGGGCGGTGAAACGTGCAATTGCAAAGAAACGAACAGCACATGCATACCGAGCAACAGCGAAACCATGGAGATTTGCAGCGGACGCGGTGACTGCATTTGCGGTAGCTGTCATTGTTACGAAAAAGACAACATCCGATACTCTGGACAGTATTGCGAAGAGTGCCCCGTAGGTCTTCTTGATGACATATAAATATTCACTAAGCGTATACCAGCCGTAGACATGCGTTTTCATGTTTGCAGATATGTCCTGGACAACGGTGCGAAGAATTGAAGAATTGCGTCGAATGTGTGGCCCACGGGACCGGGCCTTTAGCTGAAAGTGGAAAATGCGACGCATGTCATCTGCATCAAATAGACATCGTAAGACAGTGTTCTCCAAAAACATGGTTAAACGTTCCATAGAATAGTTAGTTCACGTTCTTATAATTTTCAATAGGTAGATAAAATCGTAGAGAATCCCGAGGAGGATCAAAAGACTGGAGCTCGTATTTGTCGAACTCCGGGGGACGCCGGATGCACATTTGTGTTCAAGTACGAATATTACAGAGGTGGCGATCGGGGAGATATTAAGATACTCAAGATTCTCGCTGAGAAAAAGAGGATATGTCCCACGCCTATCAATGTTCTCGGTAAAACACATTAGATATAATATTTAGTATTATAAATATAATATTTGGTAATAATATTTGGTAAGCTGTGTACTTCAGGAGTGGCTGTAGGATTGATAATTAGCACTGTAATTATCGGATCCGTGATTCTTCTCATTTGGAAAATACTAACGATGATCCATGATAAACGAGAATATGTGAAATTCGAGCGAGAACGAGCTCTGGCCAAGTGGGACAAGGTAAACGATATTAATTTCTTATTTCGAGATAAATTGACTTCATTAACGAGAGCGTTGCTCATTTTCAGGGCGACAATCCGCTTTACAAAAAAGCCACCTCGACATTCAGCAATCCAACGTACAACGAGAATTCGAGGGATTAGAATCGAAATTCACTTTCGCGCGAAATATCTCCGCGAGAGTTTCAATTGTATCGAAAGGTAGTCACTCCGATAGGTAGCGCCACCATATAATCGAATCGAGAAAGACGACAATGACGCCATGTTGGTTAATTGCTTTGTGAGAAGACGATTTCCAGTCGACAAAATCAACGCCTAGTGTTCCAATCCTGTGAAGAACAAACCTCTATCTGCTTCTATTCCTGTATTCCTACTCAGTAAGTGACGATACATCCATATTTTCCTTACTTTTCTTCAAATCTCCCCAGAATTTCGTATTTACTTTACGTCGCGTCCCGTCGCAATGCGATGACACTCTTTGGCAGCATAACTTCCGGTTTGCTCTGAAAATAATGCGCGAAGCTTAATGACTCGTGATGAAGACGCACCAGGAAGTAAAATGAATGCGATCGAAATGGCTGGGAAAAGGAAAGCTCGGATAAGCGATCGCTCGTAAATCAATTTTAAATTTGATCCAGCGATTTCGCGTCAGAGATGGGTCTTGGCCTTTCGACCGATTGTTTCGAATATCCCCTGGCCTCGTACTTTATTGCTCGCTATGCTC